CACGCTGGTTGCGTTGGGCCGCAGTTAACCCGGAGGCGGGCCGGGGAAGGGCAGAACCGCCCCTCCCAGGCCGCGGGGTGCAGGAGGTTCCGGGGCCCGCCGATCACTGCTCTGGGGGGTCAGAAAGGGTTGGCAGCTCCGGGCCTGGGCGAATGCCCGAGTTCTCTGGGTGGGAGCCTGTCGGCCCTGGGTCAGTGGCTGGAGACCTGGACGCACCTGTGGTCCCAGGTTCAGGCCGCACTCACTGTCCTCTCAGCTCTGCTCCCCGCGGAGGCTCCGGGTGAAAGACAAGCTCAGAACCCAGAGCTGCATTTGCACCTGAGCTCTGAGCAGCGCGTAGGGAGGTAGTGGGATGGATGGAGGCCATGCCCCGCTGACACGCAGGAGGGAGTCTCACTTTCCACGACCCGCCCGCCCCTTTTCATTCCTGGTCTTTAAATGCCGAAGATTTCTCTGCCAGTTAGGGGGCGGGACAGGCTAGCAAGCATGTTCTTAGAAATAAGGGTTGGAGTGTGCAGTCTGTGCCTTCCCTTTCTGGAGCCTTCCGCAGTGTGTGTGTGTGTGTGTGTGTGTGTGTGTGTTTTATATTATGTAACATATGTGTATTTCGTATGAGATGTTTGTTTCTGTCTGCTTTTAGAATGCAAGCACCAGGAGGGAGGGTGGGCTCACACCTGTTTTGCTAGCTGTGTCCCTAGTGCCTCGTGCACTCCTCAGAATATACACTGAGTGGCCAGATTATTATGACCACCCCATCAGTATAATGAAGTGAATTAGTTATGCAAACAATAATAATAATAATAATAATAATAATAAAACCTTGAGAGGATTTGCTTAGGAAGTTTCCAATATTCAGTATTTTTGGAAGTGTCAATGAAGTACTGACGGGATGGTCATAATAATCTGGCCACTCAGCGTAGTGGGCACGCAATTTAGGGATGGCCCAGGTGTAGGCACTTCTGAGGAATGAGACTCTCCACAGAAGTAATTGTTTTCAGGGAGCCAGAGAATATTCCGTCAACCATGCTCTGTCATTGTAGACCAGTGGTTCTCAACTGTGGCTGCACATTAGAATCACCTGGGAATCTTTTCAAAATCCTGATTTCTGGGCCCCATCCTCCAGAAATTCTGTTTCTTTGTTACTAATGTTGTGGCCCCACCCCATAACAAAGAAACAGAATTTCCGGAGGGTGAGGCCCAGAAATCAGGATTTTGAAAAGATTCCCAGGTGATTCTAATGTGCAGCCAAGGTTGAGAACCACTGGTCTAGACAGACGTTTGAAGGGATCTCAGAGGAGGGTCCACCCCTCCCACCCCCACTAAAGTAGTCCCAATGGGTTAACTTTGTTATATGGTTTCTACATATTTTTTTAAAATTTTTAAATAAAAGGATTCTGCTGCTGAAACAAACCACCACCATCAACAAAAAAACTGCTAAATTTGGAAACTAGTAACAGCACACAGGTAAATCAAAGAACCCCCGCCATCTGTTATGCATGGGGGATGTTTCAAGAGACGGGGAACGATCAAGTCCCTGAGACTAAAGCCAGCAACTCAGCCCATGGGTTTGAAGCAGCATTTTCCAGTCTCAGCACTCTTGACATTTGGGCCTGGATCATTTGCTGTAGGGCTGTCCTTTGTGCTGTATGACGTTCAGCAGTATCCTTCGTCTCTAACCACTAGATGCCAGTAGCATCCCCACAGCTGTGACAACCACAGTGTCTCCAGACAAGGCCAAAAGTCCCCCAAGAGCAAAATCATCACTGGTTGAAAACCACTGTTATATTCACATGGGCCATAAGATAGTGTCAACGTTTGAACCACTCTGATGTTTTTCTTGCCTTAAAAAAACAACAACACAGAGCTGATAAAACCAATCTAGTGATTGAGGGTCAGCATCATGCATGCCACTTGTCCTGTGCCACACATAAGGGACTTAGTGTGTAAGGAGGGTTTGTTTGGACCAAAGTACTGAGCCTGGAGTTTGGGAGCCCTAATTTTAGAGTTTTTCCCACTTGCTTTCTTGCCTGTTGGCCGTCATTTGTGGCTGCTGTAGCAGAAAGGTGACAGCTGTCTCTTGCTGTCACTCGTTGGCACCTGATTTACAGCCTCTGTTGTGTTATGGAATGGGAAAGCTAATGAAGTTTGTGAAAATTTGTGAGTAGAATAACTAACTTTGACAAGAGACCAAGGGTCTTTGTTAAGTAAATTCTAGCCCTCCTGGTGTTGCTCAGTGGTTAGAGTGTTGGCCCATGTACCGAAGGGTCTCGGATTCAATTCCTGGTCAAGGGCACTACCTGGGTTTCAGATTCTGAGTGGGGCGTGTGCGGGAGGCAACCAATCGATGTGTCTCTCATATCGAAGTTTCTCTCCCCTTCCCTTCCTCTTCCCCTCCCTCCCTCCCACTCGCTCTAAAAACAATGGAAAAAATGTCCTCCGGTGAGGATTCACAACAGTAAAAAAGAAGTAAATTGTATAGATTAAGTGGCTCTTAGAACCAGAGTTAATGTTTCATAGGAGTCTCAATCTCGAGATAAAGAGGTGTGTTTATATGTGACCATCTCTGTCCTAGATTATGTGGGTCAACCATTCTTTATTCCAGCGGTTCTCAACCTGTGGGTCGCGACCCCTGAAAATACATCCTGCATATCAGATATGCCTGCATATCAGATATTTACATTACGATTCATAACAGTAGTAAAATTACAGTTATGAAGTAGCAACGAAAATAATTTTATGGTTGAGGGTCACCACAACATGAGGAACTGTATTAAAGGGTCACGGCATTAGGAAGGTTGAGAACCACTGCGTTTATTCCCACACTGAATATTTATCAGATCCCTACCATATAGATTAGTCAGTACTTGCAAAGCACTTAGAATAGTGCCCGGCACATGGTAAGCACTTTGCTCTGATGATGATGAAGTTCTAGGCACTAAGATGGGTAGGCTCAGTGATGGAACAATGATGAGCAAAGTGAATATGATTCTTCTTTTTTAAATATATATTTTATTGATTTTTTACAGAAAGGAAGGGAGAGGGATAGAGAGCTAGAAACATCGATGAGAGGGAAACATCGATCAGCTGCCTCCTGCACACTCCCCACTGGGCATGTGCCCGCAACCAAGATACATGCCCTTGACCGGAATTGAACCTGGGACCCTTGAGTCTGCAGGCCGATGCTCTATCCACTGAGCCAAACCGGTTAGGGCTTTTTTTTTTATAGCAAAGGTGGAAATTTATTAAAGAACAAGTACAGACTCCCATGTGGGGAGGGGGAAAGAGTCCCCCAGAACGGACTCCCACTTCGTGGGGGTGGGGGAAGGGTCTCCGTGAATATGATTCTTACTTGTATGGGATTCACATTCTAGTTGGGAAAAGAGTGTGGGTGGGGTGATGCTGCCATCTTATAATGTGGTATTTTGGCTTTCTTCTTAGATGCTTTCTTCACGTGTCGAAAAAATGCCCTCCTGGCGAAGAGCTCGTCCCCCCAGGTAGAGGGTGACTTTGCCATGGCCCCTCAGGGCCTGGACCAGGAAGAGTGTGAGGGCCTGCTGCAGCAGTGGCGAGAAGAAGGGTCGAGCCAGGTGTTCTCGACTGTGAGCGAGGGTCCCCTAGTAGATAAGGGACTAGCCCAAAGCAGCTTGGCACTCCTGATGGATTATCCTGGAGAACAGGATGCTGCTTCCGAGGACAAGTGGTGCAGCAGGCAGCTGAGTGACCTGCAGGCAGCAGAGAACCTAGAGGAGCCTTCCCCCACGGTCCTAGGAGAGGAATCACTGCCAGAGGGCGAGGGCCCGATGTGGGCAGCTGTCCCCATGCAGGCAGGCCCTCAGTATGCAGACTGCACCATCCTCCCAATGGGTGCACTGGCTGCAGAGGAGTGGGAAGAGGACCCCGCAGTGGTCGCCTGGAGCCTAGCGCCTGAGCCCATGCCTCAGGAAGAGGCTCCCATCTGGTCCTTTGAGGGCCTGGGGCAGTTGCAGCCTCCCCCCGTAGAAATTCCTTACCATGGTGAGTCTGACAGCTGGCTGAGAGAGCCAGGGTAGCAGGTTGCCAGGTTGTCGTGGGTGTGGGCAGAGCCATTGCTAAAGAAGATTCTCGGTGGGGAGCTCTGTCAACACTGCCACTGCATTCTTTTCTCTAAGACTCTTGCAGTGTCAGATCTAGGTGGGCCTTAGAAATCATCTCTCGTAGCCCCCTGGTCTCTCAGAGGAAATAACGCCGGTGCAGAGAGGTAGCGGGACATGCCTAGAGTTACATAGCTCGGTGATGGCAGAACACAGCAGATCCTAGTTCTGATTCTCCATGCGACTGTTTCTCTGGAGGTGATCCAAGGGCTTCCTGGGAGGAGGCGGAGAGCCCTCGGGGCCTCCACTCTGTGCCTCAACAGAATGACGCCAGTTTTATCTGTGGCACATATTGGGCTTCCATTAAAATGTGAAGACTGAGTTCTGTGGCTCAGATAGGTTTGAAATCCACTCTGCAGCTCCATGCTTTAAGGGAAATGGGGGACAAGCGGTTTCTAGCCCTACAAACTTTTCCAGATTTAGAGGTTAGAAAACAACCAAGGCTGAGATGACTTGAGAAGAGTTTTTAACCTCAGATAACCATTAAGCACATTCATCTGAGTGATTCCCCAGAGACCAATGGATTTGTCAAAAGTGTGAGCCTGTATTAGTTGAGCATGCACGAGGTGCCAGGCATTATGCCAGGTACTGGGAATACAGTAGTGAACAGCCCAAGGTTGTCTCTGGCTTTATGGAGCTTACTGTCTAATGTGAGAATGTCCTTAGAGTTCTGCTCAGATGACCACAGAGGGGAATGGGTGACATGGAAGGTGAAAAAATTTGAGACACAGTATCACTGAGTCAGGGGTGGAGATGGTGGGGCCTGCGGGTAACATGTACTTGTCATGACCTCTTCTTCCCAACCCCTTTGCAGAAATCCTGTGGCGAGAATGGGAGGATTTCTCCACTCAGCTGGATGCGCAGGGCCTGGAGGCAGGGGATGGCCCTCAGTTCCAGTTCACTCTGATGTCCTATAACATCCTGGCCCAGGACCTGATGCAGCAGAGCTCCGAGCTCTATCTGCATTGCCACCCGGACATCCTCAATTGGAACTATCGCTTTGCAAATCTCATGCAGGAATTCCAGCACTGGGACCCTGATGTGAGTGAAGAGCCGGGTGGGCAGTGCCACTTGCATTTGTTTTGGGCCTGGGCTGTTTCCCGGTGCTCTTAGAAAATGAGTTCATTCCCATGGTTGTTCACATGATTGGAGCCCTTCCTGGGCCTGGAGCTTGCCTGCCTGAAGTCAGTGAGTTTTGGCAGATGCTGAGAAGACTTTCCCTGGGTGCACTTTCTGGCACCTTTGTGCAGGGAGGGAGACTTGAGGGAAAATCCAGTGTATGTGTCTGGTCTCCTCGGCTTCACGCTGGCCTGTTCTTGCCGGGGCTGTCAGTCCTGTGGGAAGGTTCAGTGCCTGAGACCCACAGCAGCTTCCCACCTGGCCACTGCCTGCTCCTGGGGTGGGAGTCCTGTTCATCACTCTGGGCATTCTGGAGTGATGGGTTTCCTTGTATATTTCCCAGATACTGTGTCTTCAGGAAGTCCAGGAAGATCATTACTGGGAGCAGCTGGAGCCCTCGCTGCGAATGATGGGTAATGCAGCTCCCTGACATGTGTGCCAGTCTTTGTTCCTGCAGCCCTGTCTACTCTCTCCGAAGACACCATGGTTTCCTTTGTCTCAGTAAACCTTCAGTCTCACCTTCGAGCTAGCTCTTCCTCTATGTGGGTGAAAAAGAAAGTAGAGTTCGAAGTTTTAAAGTAACTGTGACATGTTGCCCTTTAATTCTTGAAGTAACCAAACCTGTGAGGCCGAGTATTATCCCCAGTTTACAACGAGGAAACTGAGTTTCTCAAAATTTCTGTGACTTGCTCAGGGTCACAAAACTACAAAGCTAGTAGGTTGTGGAGCTAGAACTCCAGCTTGTGTGACTTTATTTATTTTATTATTATTATTATTTGTTAATCCTCACCCAAGGATATTTTTTTCCATTTATTTTTAGTTTTTGACATGTTTCCATTCTTTTTTTTTAATATATATATTTTTTATTGATTTCAGAGAGGAAGGGAGAGGGGGAGAGAGATAGAAACATCAATGATGAGAGAGAATCATTGATTGGCTGCCTTCTGCACTCCCCCTACTGGGGACCAAGCCCGCAACCCAAGCATGGGCCCTTGACTTGGATTGAACCTGGGACCCTTCAGTCCAATGCTCTATCCACTGAGCCAAACCAGTTAGGGCTCCATTGATTTTTAGAGAGTGGAAGGGAGGGAGGAGTGGGATAGGGAGATAGAGATAGAGATAGAAATAGAGATAGAGATAAAGATAGAGATAGGGATAGAGATAGGAAGAAAGAAAGAAAGAAAGAGAAAGAAAGAAAGAAGAAAGAAAGAGAAAGAAAGAAAGAAAGAAAGAAAGAAAGAGAGAAAGAAAGAAAGAAAGAAAGAAAGAAAGAGAGAAAGAAAGAAAGAAAGAAAGAAAGAAAGAGAGAAAGAAAGAAAGAAAGAAAGAAAGAAAGAAAAAGAAAGAAAGAAAGAAAAAGAAAGGAAGGAAGGAAGGGAGGAAGGAAGGAAGAAAGAAAAGAAAGAAAAAGAGAAAGAAAGAAAGAGGAAGAGAGGGAGGGAGAGAGAGAGAGGAAGAAAGAGAAAGAGTGAGTGAGAGAGGGATAGGGAGAGAGAGAAACATCAGTGTGAGAGAGACACATCAATTGGTTGTCTCCCACACATGCCCTGGGGATTGAGCCTGCAATCCAGGTACGTGCCCTTGACTGGGAATGGAACCCAAGACCCTTTGGTGCATAGGCCAACGCTCTCCACTGAGTCACACTGGCCAGGGCCAACTTGTCTGACTTTAGATTCCATGCTGTCCCTGTCGACTTATATTGCTTCAACCCTTCTCTCCTCCTTTCCCGTTAGAGCCTCTCTCGTCTGGTTAAAACTGTCAGGGAACCTCTGCAGGGTCAGGGATTGGCAAGGGCAAGGACTCCCATTATAGAGCAGCAGGAGCAATGCCTGTGCACACCCACCGGGGTTACTGCCACTGGTTGGAGGGACTCAGGGTTCAAGGACTCTGATCCATCTCCTTGGTGGGGTATTCCTGCAGGCTTTACCTGTTTCTACAAGAGGAGGACCGGGTGTAAGACGGACGGCTGTGCTGTCTGCTACAAGCCCACGAGATTCCGTCTGCTTTGCGCCAGCCCTGTGGAGTACTTCCGGCCTGGCTTGGAGCTCCTCAATCGGGATAACGTGGGCTTAGTGTTGCTGCTGCAGCCACTGGTCCCAGAAGGCCTGGGGCAAGTCTCGGTGGCCCCATTATGTGTGGCTAATACCCACATCCTGTACAACCCACGCCGGGGTGATGTCAAGTTGGCCCAGATGGCCATTCTCTTGGCTGAAGTGGACAAGGTGGCTAGGTTGTCAGATGGCAGCCACTGCCCCATCATCTTGTGTGGGGACCTGAATTCCGTCCCTGAGTCACCTCTCTACAACTTCATCAGGGATGGAGAGCTGCAATACGATGGGATGCCGGCCTGGAAGGTGAAAGGGGCAGACCACTGTGGGTGGGAACGGCCTAGGGAGAGGCTCGGGTGTGGCACCAGCACTGCTTCTGTGGCAGGGACTTCAGTTGCCCCGGTTCTGGCTCCCTCCTGCTTTCTTGTACCCAAAGCCTAGAAGTTAGGAACTCTCGAGTGCCTTTGGCATATTGGAATCCTTTCAGTTTTTATCATTAATTTATTTTGAGTCTATAAGTAATACATAAGTACATCCTTGAAAGAATTCAAATGTCTTAAAATCAGGCCAAAGCCCCTTTTATTACCTACAATCCCTGCCTCTCCCCTTAGAGTCAAATAATAGCTGAAGTTTGGTGGCATTTTTTCAGATCATTTTTATGCATTTATAGTGATATCGATGTTCCCGTGATAATATAATCCTAATTTACATTTATTAAGCAATTACTATGTGCCAGGTGCTATTTTAAGCTCTTTATATGTATTCATTAATTTTCATAACTTCTGTCATTGCCTCCATTTTATAAATGAGGAAACTTAAGGCACAGAGAAATTAGTAATTTGCTTACTCTAGATTATGCAGGTCATTCATGGCGGAGCCAGGATTTGTAGCTGGGTGGTCTGGCCCCAGAGCTCTCACCCTCCAGCACTATCTGTGATTGCTTCTAACAGCTGGTATATAATCTATCGTGTGTATTTATAAACATGATATGTTACTGCATATTTTATAGCTTTTTTTTTCACTTAATGTATATATGGATCTGTCTTTTTTTTTCTTTTTTTTTAATATATTTTTTTATTGATCAGCTGGTATATCTATCGTGTGTATTTATAAACATGATATGTTACTGCATATTTTATAGCTTTTTTTTTCACTTAATGTATATATGGATCATCTGTTTTTTTTCTTTTTTTTTAATATATTTTTTTATTGATTAAGATATTACATATGTGTCCTTATACCCACATAACCCCCTTCCCTCCCTCCCCCCGCTCATGCCCTTACCCCCCCGTTGTCCGTGTCCATTGGTTACACCTATATGCTTGCATGTAAGTCCTTTGGTTGATCTTTCCCCCTTAACCCTGCCCTCCCCTACCTTCCCTCCAAG